CTTGAATGAGATAAAGAGAGGAAAATGGGATGGTCGTTTTCCGTGATTGACGTTGAGTTGAGTGGATTCCTATAGTAAAACAAGTACTCTTCAACGAAATAACAGATAACAAGCTTCCTGAGGTGTCTTTCGACTTCGTTTCAATGGCTTACTAATGGTGCTAATAAGGTAGTGTAATGGTATAGGTATGACCGATTGGTTGTGTTTGTTGCTATTAGTGTTGTTGTTCTTGTAGTGACAGATCCAGAGGGGAAGCGCTTCGGTTTTCGGCTTCCCTTGAAAAAGTTCGGTGGTCAATGCCCATCCACAAACGTCCAGCTTAGGGACTCTTTTACAGCGGCATTCAGTATTGGACGCAATCTCTCTGTCTGGAAGAAATGTGGAGCTGTTCCTCTTACACGAGCACCCTTGCTAGCAGCATCTCTCAGACATGAAGTCCCAGATGATCGAGCAGCCTCTGTTGCGGCAGTTGGTGGTGAAACGGTAGACCCTGAGGTAGAGAAACTCTGGCGAATTGAAGAGGCCAATTTGTTGTTCTGTGAAATGCTCACCGCATATGGAATGAACGGAAGCAAGTTGAAGAAGAAAGCTCCCAAGAGAACAACCTTTGTTGCTGTCACACAGCCCCATTCCAAGGAACGTATCAAGGCAATCAAGGATGCCAAGACCGCTGGCCAAATGTTTTATGCGAAAGGTGGCCGACACATGAACACAGATGAATTCTTCAAAGCCAGAGAAATGGCAGGAAGAGAAGAGAGGATCAAAGCACTCGAAGATGACAAGAAGGTCCGAACTGCTGCTCGTGAGGCAGAGGTTGCTTCCAAGACCTTAATTCAACAGAAGGGAGAACTCCACGCTGATGGACGAGGTTTCGTTGTTGCCGAATTGAAAATCCTGGCAAAGTGGAAGAAAATCACTCCCTTGCCATCAAGGAAAGCCGACCTCATTGCTGCTGTCCGCATGACCCAAGAGCCTCTCCCAGTCAACCAGTGGACGGAGGATGAAGAGAAGGAACTTGCAGGTCTCAAGTCAGACAATGTGCAAGTGAAAGACACGGCCCTTGGTGTGGCAGCGTGTCAAATGGCGAGGGCCATCACCAACAATATTGCCAATTTGGATGATCAAACAAGGGCCCAGCTCAAAGCCGCGATTCAGGCGTCCGAGTATGGTGAACCTACTACTCCTCTGTAGGTTTGCATGGCTTTGGAGGCCTCGGAAGGGCTTCGAAACAGCGGCGTTTCCTCATTGTCGATCTTTCTTTTTTGTTGTTCTTTGTTGTTGTGTCGAAGAAAAAGAGTCAATCACTAGGATCTGGGATCGATTTAGACTTAATCACTAGCAAATAAGACTCGTCTCTGTTAACCCACTAAGATATCGTTTAAGGATTTTACATGCCAATTTCCAACGGTAGAACTGAGCCACTGGTTACGTAGGATTTTGTACCAGCTCTACGTGTAAAGCTCAAAACTACCCATAAACTAGTAGGTTCAGAGGTGCGTGACAGGGACAATAGCTGGCCGGCTCGTTTCACTAGATATCACAATATTATTATTATTCGGAAAGGTCTATCGTGCCGAGGCTCAAATCGCGACAATGGGCTTCTACCACTCAGTCAAGGTAATTATCCACCCTTACCCGACTGTTAGATTTCACTAGAAGCACTATGGAGACCAACTGGTAAGTGGACGTGGTGAGATTGCTTGATTTGGTGGGCTCAGACAGCCTCAAAGCCGAGAAATTGCCCCTTTTTTGAAGGAGCCACGGAACGATGGGCTTTCTCGCCATGAATAGCCAATGAATGATACCCAATTCAGTGTACTATTGAAGGCGCAGCACTGACTTCTCTCCCTCATTGAATGCCTATGGTAAACAGGAGAGAAATCCAAGCTTGACCGACAAGAGTGGTACCGTACCGGTAGGAGGAGTTCTCTCTTTATTCAAGCCGATCGTGATCGATTGATCGATTCGATTCGAGGTGAGCCTACCATACCGGTATTTATCAAGAGCGTTATTTGAAGGTGTAGATTCGAAAGCCATCCCTCCATTACTCCTATGGACCGGGGGAAGGCAGTCAGATCTCGGCCGTCAACAGTCAAAGATGAGTTGTTTTATTATTTCGAATCGAATCGGTCGCACCTCTACCGGTACTGTATTATCCAAGCCTCACTCAAGCCGACCGTCTCCGGTGCAGATTGGAAAACCATCCCTCATTGAATCCTATGGACGATGGGATGGCAGTCTGTTCTCAGCCCATGACAGTCAAGTTGGTGCAATTTGATAAACAAGAGTAAGTCTCCGGTTGTCTGCAGTTCAGCATGGAAAGCAAAACTCATATCTATGTGTTGTTTTCTCTGCTGCACTGCTGACGGCCGACGAAATACTATTGTCGAGTCCTTTTCGGTGGATCGATCGCTACCAGGTACAGAGTGCGGAGGAGGAGAGGCTACATGATGTACCCATCCCGAGGAGACTGCTAACTCAAGCCCTACTATCAGCCTGAATGAATATCAACGTCGAGGCATTCAAAAGCCAACAAGAGGAGGCTACATGACAACAGAGGAGAGTGGATCCTCCCATTGGATGGATTCCTGTCTCGGTACCCATTGTCCTGTACATATGTGTACATACATGTCAACTTTGGCCAAGTATTTGGCTAAGTTCTCGAGGACTTGGTGATTTGACTTGGAGCATGTATGTAGAAGAGTAGATAGAAGAACAGAGTAGATAGATAGTGATACAGTAGAGGATGTTCGGTGCTTACTAGACTACTAGTATTATCCAGCCAGTTGTCCTCCGACCAAATTCAACTGATGACGCGACGGTCGATCCTCATGGTGGCAATCGTTGAATTCCATGGCCTCGGAGCGACTCTACGAACATAACCTAATCTATAGCATGAATATATCAATGTACACACCTCCCCGGCTTGTGGGGAGCAGGCTAGGCTGGCGCTTAAGGTCCCCTCTGAACCTATGTGAATTTCACATCGGTTCATGGGGTGGGCAGTTGGGCATTAGCTGCCCGGCGTGCAAGCCCATTCCTGCAATATTATTTTGTGACGAAACTCAAAAGGTCTTGGACTGCGAAACTGCCACAATGATGGAAGATGCCGTCGCCTGAGGTCTTTTTGACCCATATCCGAGCCGCCGAAGTCACCACGAGCCCTTGTGTGTCCTATGGGTGCTTTGTTACATTGAAAGATAACAAAAAATAAGAGATTTTAGGTCAGTATTTGAGTTTTGTGTGGTGGCATTGCCACCATACAACGTGCTCTCTTTGTAATTACAGTTGTCTAGGAACCACAAATGACGGTACGAGTAGATTTCAGGGCAAAAGAATACATTTGTTGGTCTAAGATAACAGTGCTATAACTTTGAGTGCGTTAGGTTAGATATAGTCGGCATTGGCGCGATAAACACCACCAAGGCTTTCGTCCGATGAGAATGGATCCGACCATGATGCAGGAACCTTACTCATGCAGATGAATTCGAAGTGATCTTTCCACCCCTCCTTGATAATATATCCATTGATCGAGTGAATGAATTCTTCTGGGAGGGTCTGTGAGTGTTGCTCAGAGGCTGCTGATAGAGCATTGTCGGATGATTTGAGTGCCCGCAACGTCTTTGTATAAGGAGCCCGCTTCTTGCCTGTAAACCGTTCTTTAATTTCACGAAGGATTGCCTCGATTTCCGGACGACACTGGAGCATAATCCTTTTAAATATTGTGTAGGTCCTTGTTTCAGTGCTTGTCATGCAGACCAATGGATGCATGATGGATTCAATACACTTATGCGCTGATTCAAAACCTTCTTCCGAGCACCGGCCAATCATTTGGTTAGCAATTGCAAACGGTGTCAAGTGAGACCTCAGAACATGAAGCTTATTGAAAACAGTCATCTCGTCACTGTTAGCGCTTGGTGCATCTCCAGTCTTTGCAATGAACTCCAACCAACGTTCTGCGTATTGTCGAGTAATAGTTTCAAACCGAGATGCCGCTCTTTCAGACCACTTCCGCTGTGATTTCATCATCGTTGATATCTCGTAGAGTAACTCTGCCAATCCACAGTAGTGATTCATGAGGCTTTCAACTTGCAATTGGAGCTGCCGATCATTGGGAAAGAGTCGCCCCATCCGCTGAATGATGGCATGTCGACGTTCAAGTACTCGGAGACCATCACCGTTTGAGAGCTCAAATCCACTATTCTCAACTCGGAATGCCACTCTCCCATCGATTTCGTACGCCTTTCTGAAACAATATGTTGCAGGACCAATGATCCGATTCTTTGTCTTCTTTGAAAGGCCTGCTATGAAGTCGTTGCCCTTTTCAACAAAGTGCACTACGCTAAAAGCTAGTGTAAAGATCTTTCGAGTGTTTTGAGTTTGAGAGAATGAAAGTTATGAGAGAGATTAGAAAGCTATGAAAACTAATCAACGAGAGAGATCATCATCAAAGAAAAGGATCGTAGATCTGGCTTCCCCCGAAGACTATAAAAGGGTGATAGAGTAGTTTGTGGTGGTAATCCTACGTCTCTCACGATCCTAAAACAGAAACCGCGTGGAAGTTTGGTCTAGCCTGGATCTAGTAGCGTGGAAGTACCTCAACTGCTGGCTAAATATCTAGACAGTGTTCATCATCAACCTAGTATACTCTAGCGCGGTCATTGAGAACCTGTCTCAAATGAATATCACGAGAGCATCAGTCATGAGTCGAACTCAAACCCTATCATAGGATCGAGTCGCGAAAAGGCTAAAGACCGTGTATGCATGGCCCCCTGACAAGGGTCACAGAAGGCGCGACAGACAGTCTGGGACAAGGAGAACATATGATTTAAAGTGCAGGGCACCTCAGAGTTTGGATGTAGACATGTGTCTCGCACGATGGCAATCCTCTAAGGGGATCAAGGCCTTGTATGGGGTTATATACCTTATGTTCCAAGTCTGGTAAACTGTGCGCGCCGTTGGCGGTAGCATTGTGGAAGCCGTACAGTGCCAATGTCATTGACTCGGTCTATAGTGAAGAGACCTTTGTACTTTGGCTGACCGTACTTGCTCGGTGCTGATACTGTTGAATCATACCAGTATCGTTGACATTGTATTGATGTAGGGACACGCGTTGTTCGTTTCCCTATCGTTGTTTTGTTGGATTATCGTTGGTCGACGTTCTTATGTATTCCATTTGCTTCGAACCGGACGTTTGGAATCGCGTCACGATGTAAACACGAGCTGTGCGGGATTGCACGAAAGGTGGTATGAATGACGTGGCATTATTGCAAGCGAACCGCCGGTGAGGACTACCATCCCAGGATCCATTCAAGAGGTCGTCTTGGCACTTGATGTTTTGAACAGCATCAAGTTACGTATGGTTTGTATGAGCACGCTCGACCATTGAGTTGTGCTTGAGGGTTACGCGTGGTGAGGAACTTGCGAAGAAGTCCATATTCATCCCGGATGTCTTTTCGACCTCTGCACTGGAACTCACGTCTCTATCCATGATAACCTCAGCAGGCCATGGATACCGAGTAGCCACGTTTGTTCTAGGACGATGGCTACTTACGTCTGCTGCCTGGAGCAGATCTCTGCAATCGAACCATCCGGTTACAGGATCAATATTGTCAAGCAAGAGTGTGGAGAATTCTTTCCTTGGACCCCCGACGTTGTAAGAGGCCTATCAGGTCAATCATAAGTCTTTCCCAAGTGATCTCCTCGCAAGTCTTTGGAGGCATCAATCCCAGCTTACGCTGCTTGGGTTTGTTCATCTGGCAGTTCTGGCAACGCTGACATACGGCCTGCACATCCTGCGCAGCCCCTTTCCAGGTGTAGTGTTGCTGGCTGATGGTTAGTTCTTTGCGAGTCTCGCCAGGAAAATGCATCAGCACACCCAGGTACCATTCAACTAGCTCTTTCTGCATAGTTTTAGGTACGACGATTTTCTCGTCCTTGACTAATAAGTCGTAAGACTTATCACCTCTGGTGAAAGATTGCCTCTTGTAGTCGTTTGGCTGTCCCTGAGAGCTTCTTGATATCGTTGTCTTTTTTCTGACGATGTTCGATTCCGGGGAACGAGAGAGGGACTCACTAGGGAAGTCCTCCTCGTCTGCAGCCCCCATGAGTCCAGCGATCTCGCTGGCGTCCATCTGTTCTGGAAGAACCGTCGTTGTTGAAGATGTTAAGTCTCGACAACGCATCTGTGACGATGTTCTGTTCGCCCTTGATGGTCCGTAGTTCAGGGCCGTAATCTTCCAGAATAAGTCGCCATCTGCATTACGCGTTCGGTATTGAATTTCTTACTTGTAAGATTCTTTTGGTCCGTGTGTACAACGCTCTTCTGTCCCTAGAAGAATGTTACGGAATTCGTTCAGAGTTTCTACGATACTGAGAAGTTCCTTCTCGTGAACTGTGTAACGTGTCTGAGCAGGGTTGAGCTTCCTGTTGTAGAACGCGATAGGTTATCCCTTCTGGGAAATTACTGCACCAAGTTGAGTATCACTCGCATCCGTTGGGATAACGAATGTATCGTTGAAGACAGGGTAGGCAGCAAGGCTTTTCTGCGATTGATTCTTTCTTCATCTGGCTAAAAGCCTTGTCGTTGTCGGCTTCCCATTTCCACTTCGTTGTTTTGGAAGTCAACGAAGCGAGTGGGGACATTACATGTGATCGTCTATATCAACATGTCTCGAAAGTAGTTCACTAGTCCAATGAAACTACGGAGTTCCTTCCTGTTTGGTAGGAGGAGCGATATTTCTTGATCGCTTTATTTCTGGTTATTCGTTGGATTCCTTCTCCAGTAATCCAGTAACCTAGGTACTCCAGTTCATCCCTCTTGCGAAGAAGGACTTGGTAGCATTGATCTTGAGTCCGGCTTCTCGAAGCCTTCGGAGAACTTTTTCAACGTGATCTGCTAGATCGCCGTTATTTAGGATGAGTAGATCATACATGTATGCACGGACGTATTCTAGGTCGTGCAATAGTGTTCCCATCTTCTCTTGGAAAATGTCTGGACTATTACATAAGCCCATTGGCAATCTCTGGTACTCATACTTTTCCCACGGGAGTACAAAGGTACAGAGTTGCTTCGAGTGATGAGACAGCTCGATGTGATAGGTACCCATGTTCAGGTCTAGACTAGTAGCGTAATTGAATCCAATCTAGGATCAAGAGCATGTCCTGTATTTTTGGATAGGATAAGGCTTCCGCTTAATCCTTTGTTCAGTTCCCGGAAATCAGAGATGAATCGTACAGATCCATTCTTTCTTGGGAATGATGAAAGTTGGTGCCGCCCACTCCGAACGGTTTTACCTTCTTGAGTAGTCCTGCCTCGCAGAGACGTTCAAACCTCCATCTTAAAAGTGTTGGTATGGACCCGTGAAATAGGGTAAGCCCTTGCATGATAGGGTTTAACATCAGGGAGAAGTTCTACCTCGTAGTCGTCCATCTGCAACTTTCCCACAGTACCATCGAATAGGTCAGAGTTCTTCGTCAGTATAGAGTGAAGCTGTTCCTTTCCTTCCGTGTTTAACTGATCTTGACTTTGGCAAACCTGCCTTAAGTCAACTTGTTCGTATTTCGCATCAAGAATCTTCCTGAGACGATCTGCACTGTCATCGAAAGCGGCAGGATCAGGAATGAAAAAGTTTTCTTCTTCATTGGTGTCGCTATCTTTCATAGGAATAGATCCACCGTCCCATTCCACTGACATGGTAGTGAAATTCGAACTTAAAACCTAAGTCAGAGAGAAAATCTCGACCTATGATCATGTCATACACGCCCCCAAGCTCTTGGTGACGTGTAAGTCCCACTCGATAATCCTATCTTCGTTGAATTCAGGAATCATGAATGCACCTTGCACTTCGTGCTGGTGTTTAATTCTCCTGCAGGGGTAGTCCACATCTGTTGGACGCCCCCAAGATCCTCATGCGTAATTTCTTAGCATTAGTTTGAGCAATCAAGTTCCGGATGCCCCTGTATCCAGCAAGCAACGAAGTGTAACGTTTTTTGGTTTCCCTTTTTCCTCGCTTGTTAAATCTAAACATAAACGATGGTTTGAGGTCTCTTTCTTGCGACGTTTACGAGTGGGTTGGCCACGGACGAGGTTAAACGATGCTAAATGGATCATCAGAGTCTAGTTGAGCAGCTTCTAGGCAAACATCTAATTTGCCGTAGAGTTCATCAGTTTCAAACAATTCTTGTTTATCAGTTAGTGAGATATCTTCAACACTTTGGTATAGAAGTCGGAACATGGGTCCGTTGAGTCATCATCCTGGCCTAATCCTCAGATTGAGATTTCTCCATCCAATGGATTGAAATTGATAGAGGAGTTGTCCTCATTTTCAGAGTCTTCTGATTTTGCGCTTGGCAGACATGGTTGCGAAGTTTGCAAGTGGTGGTACGAGTATAGTCGATCTCGTTTTCTTCATCATCGTCGACGAGAGGAAGAATAGGTTTGTCACGCCACTTGGTTTCTCAAAAGTTGCGGAACGCAATGCTTCTTTGGCTATCTTCATGGTGAGTAATAGTTTGAGGGTAGCTGAAAGCTATGTGTTTGTTAACAACAATGCACATCGCTAAAAGCTAGTGTAAAGATATTTCGAGTGTTTTGAGTTGGAGAATGAAAAGTTATGAGAGAGATAAAAAGTAATGAAAACTAAAACGAGAGAGATACATCAATCAAAGGATCGATAGATCGGCTTCCCCGCGGGACTAAAATGTGTGATAGAGTAGGTTGGGTAGAATCCTACGTCCCCCACGATCGCTAAAAACAGTACACTGCGTGAAGGTTTTTCTAGCCTGGATTATAGCGTGGAAGTTACTCCAACAACGGTGCTCGTGGCTAATAAATCCTAAAGAGAGCGAATATTGCTTTTCATTCATCAACCTCATCCCCCT